ATTCTTACTTCTTTCTCTATGAAATATCTGTTCAAATCTTGTGCTGATATTTTGTTGGGACTGTTTTCTGCCACATCAAAGGGCCACAGACAGTGGCTTCAGCAACAACAAGAATTTTTTTTCTCAAATTCTAGGGGTAGAAGTCCAAGATCAAGATGTTAGTGAAGTTGTTTCTCCTCAGGCCTCTCTTCCTGGCTTGTAGAGGAGCATCCTCTCTGTCAGTGTCTTTGCTTAGTTGGTCCTCTGTGTTTTTATCTACTCTTCTCATAAGGGATTTAGGAATTCAATACAGGAATTTGGGGAGGGGGCACAATACATCTCATAAGTCTCTCTTTGACCGCCCCCAGATTCATGTTCTTTTTGCATTCAAAATAAATTCTCCAACAGTGTGATGGCTGTGAATTACTTGCATATAAAGCTGACTGCCATCAAAGAAATGGGAGACTGACAAAGCTTTTGATATAGTTGTACTGCCAAATAAAACACAACAAAAGCAGGCAAAAATAACCCCAAATAACAACAACAACATCAACAACAAACTTCTCTGTGTTAAAAGGGATTCTGAGTATCTGAACTTAAAATAATCCCTGAGGTTACCAAGTTTTTTGGGCAGACAGTAGACTGATAAAACAGCTTAGGCCCCTTGCCCCCTCACCAACCTCAGAACATATTGCCCAATACCTACTTAAGATGTGGCCAAGAAGAATGATGGAAAGGGAATAGTCTCCAGGGGCCAGAGGAGGACAATGGAGAAGAAAATACAAGGGATCTGCTCCTCAGGTGTGGAGTCAGGGCATGATTTAGGCACATCCCCAACTCATAAGTAGGGACCTTCAAGACTTCTGCCCAGTAGGGTTTCAGATTTACTATGGGACACTGTCTGCACTGTGTCTCCTACAGTTTCCCTTTCTAAATGGGATTATTTATTGTGGTTTTCCTATCTTGTTGTATATTGGGTGTGTGGAGGATAGATAATTTGTCTTTATAGTACAGAGGTCTTTGGATCACGAGAAGCCACATCTGGACCTAATAAAGATACCATCTTTCACCTCTGATGAAGAGATTGCTGCACGTTATCCAGTGTTATGGGCTGAACTGTGTCCCTTTAAAAGTCATGTGTTGAAATCCTAACCTCCAGCACCTCAGAATGTGACTGTATTTGTAGATGAGTTCTTTAAAGGGGTAATTAGGGTAAAATGTGATCATATAGATGGGCCCTGATCCAGGATGATTGGTATCCTTATAAGAAGAGATTAGGACCCAGACTGGCAAGAGGGGAGACCATGGAAAGGGAATGATGGGAGGGAGATGACAGCCATCTACAAGCCAAGGAGAGAGGCCTTGGGTGAAACCAACCCTGCCATCACTGTGATCTGGACTTCTAGCCTCCAGAACTGGGCAAAAATACATTTCTGTTGTTCACATCATGAGTCTCTGCTGTTTGTTTCAGTAGGCCTAGCTAACTAGGCACATCCAGAGGCACTGAACTCTCCTTGCTGCAGTGCTTAGACAGACTTTTGGGGTGACCTTTGAAAAAGTGTGTGTGTGTGTGTGTGTGTGTGTGTGAGTGTACACAAAATAAAGTAAAAATTTTGGCAGCCATGCTAGTCATTAGAGCTATTTATTGATATTTCTGGTGCTTCTCTCTATTCGCCATCTTTTTCTAGGTTATACTGCTGTACCAAATGGCCCCACACTATCAGTGGTTTAAAGCAACAACAATTTATTTCTCATGTGTGTTATATATAGGTAGAACTGCCGGCTATAGGTAGAACATGGCTACTATTCTAGAGCTCATGCTGTAGGAACAGCTCCTATTCGGGACACATCATTCTTGTGACAAAGAGAAAACAGTAACAACAAACACATGTGGATGGTTCTAAATTTTCTGCTCAAATGTGACGCATATCACTTCCGCTTCTGTTTCATTGGCCGAGCCTGGTATCAGTGCAGTGGGGAAGAGCACTTGACCTATGGTTAGATGACGGTGGGTGGGGATATGTAATCCTTTTACAGAAGGGTGGCATGTAATTAGTACCAGCAGTACAATTCAAGCACACAGCCTAATCGCACATCAAATCCTTTGAAGTTTACTGCTTACGCAAATTAGATGTGAGTGAATGCTGTGTGTGTCACTTCCAGGAAGAAACCGTTAAAGACCATTGCATGATTCAGCACTTCCCTTTCTCCCTGTTATGGGAGAAAGTCAGGGGATGCTCAGCTTACTTGTACCCCTGATGGAAAAGGGTGGAGCAGAGAGCTCTGGGCCACCTCATGATAGCTATGCAGTGTGAGCAAGAAATCCATCTTTGTTTCCTTCAGCTACTGAGGTTTTAGCATCGTTATCATAGCACATAATAGCTCATTCATTCTGACAAAAGTACTAAGAGAAGTTTGAAAAAGGCAGCCTTAAAAAAAAGCACCTGTGTTGTGTGCACAGTAGGTGCATAGCAATATATGACAATGTATCTCTCATGTTCTTTTTAAAAAAAAATTTTTTTTAATGTTTTATTTATTTCTGAGAGAGAGACAGCATGAGTGGGGGCAGGTGAGAGAGAGAGGGAGACACAGAATCTGAAGCGGGCTCCAGGCTCTGAGCTAGCTGTCACAGAGCCCTACGCGGGGCTCGAACCCACGAACCACAAGATCATGTCCTGAGCCGAAGTCAGATGTCTAACTGACTGAGCCACCCAGGTGCCTCTCATGTTCTTTTTATAACTACTGTTGCTCTCCTTTCCCCAAATGATCCTGACATGTTAATCACTTCCTTCTTTGTGCTACCTTTAAGGTCGAAGATACCTGAGGAGGTTGTTTGCTTATATAGCGTTTGGGGGAACTTTCCCTTTTCTTTCTATTGAGTGGCTGTGGTAGCAGATCTATGTAATACAGTGTTAATGGAATGAAAGGGGCACACATAGTTGGGGCAGTGCTTTCCTTCTAGGGAATTCCTTCTGGAGCCAAGAGAGATGAGTAAGGTTCTCTGTGTGGGTGCTTGGACTGTACATGTCAAACTTGGGCCTTGTAGAGGGCCAGTGTTCACCTAAATATTAGTAGTAGTGGAGTTGTCTGCAGAACAGGACCCTGTAGTTCCAGGGAGGACAGAGTTGATGGACATCAGGGATAGAACAAGAAAGTTAGAAGTATTTGAGTTCCTGAATTCAATTTTACGTCATATCTGGAGTGGCCAAAGGTGTATCCCAGGCATCCATGAATATGGAGCATAGACCAAATTTGGCCTTCTGCTTATTTTTGTAAATAAAGTTTCATTGGAACACAGCCAAACTCATTTATTTACCTATGGCTGTTTTTGTGTTACAGTGGCAGAGTTGAGTAGATGCAATAGAGACCTTATAGCTTGTAAAGCCTAAAATATTTACACTCTGGCCCTCTGCAGACAAAGTTTGCTGACCTTTGGTATGTATTATCTCATCCTTTAAGAAATATGTGTTTTCAGGGGTGCCTGGGTGTCCCAGTCAATTAAGCATCTGACTTTGACTCAGGTCATAACTCACAGTTCATGGGTTTGCACCCCGCATCAGGCTCTGTGCTAACGGCTCAGAGCCTGGAACGTGCTTTGGATTGTCTCCCTCTCTCTCTGCCCCTCCCCTGCTTGTTTGCATTTGTGCACACACGCTCTCTCTTTCTCTCTCTCTTTCTCTCTCTCTCAAAAATAAATAAATAAACATTTAAAAAGATTTTAAAGAGAAATATGTATTTTCAAAATTTATACGTGAGATATATAAATTCATAAATTAACATCTCATACATAAATGTAAACAACATATATTCATAAATCAATGCAATTTTCCTGTGTGGCAGTGCAGAATCAAAAAGATAAGTATGTCAATTATATTTCAATTAAACAAAAAAAAGAGTGGAAAGCACTGCTATGGGTGACAGCGAGTCCCCAGAAATATTTGATCGAGGCAATGACATAACCACATTAGCAGGGACAAGCCTAGTGGCAACTTCAATGCTTGTGTAGAAGCAGCAGGAACGTTAATAAACCTGATTATGAGCGTTTTGCAATTCAGACCAGAAAACCCCAGTAACAACCAAATGTGAAAACTGGGTGGAGGAATGGCAGAGGGAATAGAGTGGAGGGGATTCATGCACGTGACTCCAGTGTGGCCTTTCACCTGCAGATGACAGACTCCAGGTTTGGGGGAACAGATTGTTTGGCTACAAGAAACCATCAATAATGATTTCCGTGATCATCTCATGTTGGCCCAGACTCCATTCCAACCAAATTATTAATACACACATTATTCTTCTTAAAGAAATAGAGAAATGCATTCCAGATTGCCAAAGGAAGGAATTTCCCATGATTTATACTGAAATGCTCCTAGAACTTTTTTCCCCCAATCATCCATCTTCAAGAAATACTAAAGGCAAATATTTCATGAATCCAGAGGTGCTTCTGGCCAGCATCTGGAGATGATCCTGAGAATACAAATCTGTTATCATTTTTCACCACAGGCCTCAGCTGTCAGAACATGTAATACGCATAACCAGCTAGAGGGCTGGGGTGAAACAAAAAGCGTCCAGTTAACCACCATAGCAGGAGGCAGCAGAAGTGGGGGTGTATTTGCCCATACTTCCCCCAGGCCTGCATTTTGTAGCTCTGCTGTAGCTCCCTTAAAGCCTAACAAAGTTTCCTAACAAAGGTCTAGTTAAACACCCCACAGTGGCTGATACTCTCCAAGGGCATAATGTCTTATCACACTGTCACATGGAGGGATGACAGGGTGGAGTAGAAGAGATGTAGGCCATGAAGTCAGTCAGGTCTGAGGTTGTCTTGGTTTTGCCGCTTAATATCAGAGTGACCTCCAAGTTTCTCAGCCTTGCCGAATACTATTCCCACATCAGTAAAATGGACTTGTCTATAAAGTGATAATGGAGGTGAAATTATTGGCACAGTTTTTGGCATAGCCTAAACAATGAGAGGTTGTAATGATCATTTCAAAACCATGCTCACAGGACCACTACCCATTCACCAGGTGGTTCAATGAACGAGACTGAAGATCTCAATTATTGATGAGAATATGGAGCACTTGGAGTTCTTATACACAACTAGCTGGAGTGCCAAATGAGTACAAGCTACTTTGCCAGTGCCCTCCAAGCCGAACCTAATCAACTAGTTGGCAAGTCTACTCCCAGGTATGTGCCCAAAGTAAATACTCTCAGATGTTCAGCAAAAACACCAACCAGAATGTTCAAAGCAGCGCTATTTATAATAGCATCCAACTGGAAACTGCTCCAATGCCCATCACCAGAATAGCCCAGAGCTCAGCAAAACTTTTCTGTGAAAGGCCAGGTCATCAGTATTCAGACTGTGCAGGCCAAGAGGCAAAATCACCTTATAATTACTTCATTTCTCTTTGTTGTGTCCCAACAACAGTGCAAAGCAGCATAGGGCTGATAAGGTCTCTGTTGCACCTGCCTACCTGTCATTGTCATGGGAAAGCAGCTGTAGCTGGTAGGAAAAAGACAGAGCATAGTTTGTCCCAATAAAATGTTATCTCTGGACAAAAATGTAAATTTCATGTAATTTTTATGTGTCATGCAATATTCTTAGGATTTATTATTTATTCTTTTTTTTGCATTTTTAGCACATTCATTTTTTAAAATTTTTTATTGACGTACGATTAACATAGGTTATATTAGTTTCAGGTATACAGCATATGCATTTGACAATTCTGTATTCAGTGCTCATCACGATAAGTGTGGTCACCATCTGTCACCATACAACGTCATACACTGTTATCAACTGTATTCCCTCTGCTGTACTTTTCGTCTCTGTGACTTATTTTAAAACTAGAAGTTTGTCCCTCTTAATCTCTATAGCACTTACCCCCCATACCCAGTGATCATCAGTTTATTCTCTGTACCTAACTATTTTTATTGTTTGTTCATTTGTTCTGGTCTTCAGATTCTACTAGAAGTGAAATCATATGGTATTTGTCTTTCTGTGTCTGACTTATTTCACTGAGCATAACACCCTGTAGGTCCATCCATGTTGTCATACATGGTATGATCTCATTGTTTTTTATGACTGAGTATTATTCCAGTATGTGTGTGTTGTGTGTGCGCATGCACGCATGCATGCGCTTGTGCCCATGGGTGTGTGCAACACATCTTCTTTATCCATCCATCTATTATGGATACTTGGGTTGCTTCCATATCTTGGCTATTGTAAATAATGCTATTGATTTTTTTAAGCCTTCAAAAATGCACAACTCATTCTTACCTTGTAGGATGTATAGAAATAGGAGATGGGCCAAATTCAAATGTAGGTTGCCAACCTCTCATACAGTGGATAAATAAATTACATAGTAATGCATTGGAATACTACACGACAACAGGTAGATGCGACAGTATGGATGAATGTCGTGTACATAAGATTAAGTGAAATGAACCAGTTGCAGAGAGTGTAAGATTACATTTAAATAAGTTACAAAAGCAGGTGAAACGAATGTATGATTGTGTAAGTCCACATGGTGTTTACTCTGTGAGGGTTGGTGACAGTCAGAACAAAGGAGATTTGGGGGTGAATGGTAATGGCTGCTTCTTCATTTGGTTTGTTTGCTATACAAAATTCCACCAGCCACACACTTCTGTGCACTTTTCTGTATGTAGATTAAACTTTAAGAAGCCCTGGGGGCACCTGGGTGGCTCAGTCGGTTAAGCCTCGAACTTCTGCTCAAGTCATGATCTCACAGTCCGTGGGTTCGAGCCCCATGTTGGGCTCTGTGCTGGCAGCTCAGAGCCTGGAGCCTGCTTCAGATTCTGTGTCTCCCTCTCTTTCTGCCCCTCTCCTGGTCGCCCTCTGTCTCTCAAAATAAAAGACAGAGTTTTTTGTTTTTTTCAAAACAAAAAAAGCAATAAATTCTCTTCCTTTATTTCAGGCCTTCTTTCCTCATACCTAATCAGTTTACAGGTTTCTAGGTGTTCTTCTTCATTTTTGTTACCTTATTTATTACTCCAGAGAATCTGAAACACCAATTTATCCTTTGGGGTGGTGGGAAGAGCAGCCGATGTATAGACTGGAGCCCTGTACTTAGAATGAAGAGCAGAGTTTAACTCCACTGTGTACTGATAGTGCAACTAGGGGCAAAGAACTTAAGCTTTTTGAATTTTATTTTGTTATCTGCTAAGTGGTAAAACAATTCTTTATCTGTACCTTGGTGTAAAGATCATCCCTGATAATGAGGAATTGCTGTTTTAGCTCTATACTTCTGTATAAACGATTACTACCTATGGCATTCATAACCACCCACAATAATCAAGTTTAAATACATCCATCATCCTTATCTGCCTCCTGGTTTTCTACTTGGGGAGACAGTAGGCATAATGTTGAGGAATGTAGACTCTCAGTTGAAACTGTGACTCCATCACTTGTCTTACAGCCTCTCCATGCCTCAGTTTCCTTATTGGTAAAATATCTCCTTCATACTGTTCCTCTAGAGGTTGTGGCAGTCAGCCTCCAAGACAGGCTACTCTGAGTGTCCCCTGTGTCCTGTGTCCATACCCTGGTAGAAGGCTGTTCTACACCCTAGGAGGGTTGGGCTGTATGGCCATAAGATATGGCATAAAGGAAGGCGTTGCACCTCTGAAATTGAATTATGAAAGACTGTGGCTTCCATCTTCTGTGGCCTCTCTGTCTTGGATCATTCACTCCAGGGGCAGCCTGCTGCCAGGTCACATAGCCCTGCGGAGAGGCCAGCATGGTGAGGAACTGAGACCTGCCAAAAAACACAGGAATGATCTTGGATGTGGATCCTGCAGCCCCAGGTGAGTTTGGAAATGACTGCAACTCTGGCTGTCAACTTCTCTGCAACCTCATGAAAGACCCTGAGTCAAAATGATCCAGCAAGCTGCTCCCAGATGCTTGAACCTCAGAGACTGATAATCTGTGCCCTTACAACAGTGAACAGTGCTGAATGCATACTAAGCATGCAATAAATATTGGCTGTCTTTATCATCTGTTCTCTAAAAGTTGGCGCTTCCACATTTATAAAGCTCATTGCTGATGTCCGTGTTTTGTGCTTTGGAACAGTCAGTGTTGATGGATAGAGCACAGGCAGTTTCCTTTTCTTTCTGTGGCCTCTTTAAATGCCAAACATTAATAGGTGGTACCTCTCTGAAGAGCAGCGACTGTGTGGCTGGGAGTCCCCTAGCTCTTTTCCTTAAAGGATCATTTCATCATGAAATGAAAAGAGCTGGGGGACTCCCAGCCACACAGTCGCTGCTCTCTGGGGCGCCTGGGTGGCTTAGTCGGTTAAGCGTCCGACTTTTGCTTAGGTAATGATCTCGTGGTTCATCGGTTCGAGCCCCGTGTCGGGCTCTGTGCTGACTGCCAGCTCAGAGCCTGGAGCCAATTTCAGAGTCTGTATCTCCCTCTCTCTCTGACCCTCCCCTGCTCACACTGTCTCTCTCTATCTCCTAGAAATAAATAAAAAATATTAAAAAAAAAAAAAAAAGGATCATTTCAGGCTTTGTTTCTCTAAGCCTAGGTGCTGCCCTCTGGTCTTTGTGGCGCACCCACATCTTCGGTCTCTTTCTTGCTTTCTCAAGCTCCTCAGATGTGTTGATGATTCAAAATCTCCTTCTTTGGCATGTATTCTTTTGTTCCTTTTTTTGCCATAGGTGCCTAAAGGCACTAATAGCTGGAGGCTGGAGGCTCACTGCTCCTGACAGCTGAATGGCAGATTATTTCTTGAAGGGAGGTCCAAGAGGTGAACTTGCATGGTGGCTATAGCCATTTCATCCCCATGGTCAGGCCTGGCATCCTGTATTCCCATCCTGTGTCAAACACCTGAGCTTCCAGCTCACTTGGAGATGGGATCAACTGGCCCTAAATAGAGTGTTGATATGAAAAAAGAAAACAAGGGACTCATAGGAGTGAGGTAAGAATTAATGATCTCTAGGGCAACCTGAGATGACCCAGTGGGGTTTGGTAGTAATCAATCATCGTTCTCACTGAAAATATACTAAAAGCTCTGTACTGTGTAAGTATTTTTTGCAGGAAACCCTAAACTATAGAATCATAAAGTTGGAAGGTACTTAAATACCCAAGTAAGCCTCCCTTTCATGAGCAAGAATTCCTTGTAGAGCATTCCATATAGGTTCACTATCCTCTTCCATAGGTCCAGTGATGGTGAGCTTATCTCTTTAGTCATCTCTTTCATTGCTGAACTGCTCTGGTTGATAGAATCTTCCCTCTTCAGTAGAATTCTGAATGCTTCTGCCATCTTTAATTTTTGAAATCACTTTTTTTTTAAAATCTTTTAATGTTTATTTATTATTAAGACGGAGAGAAACAGAGCATGGGGGAGGAGGAGAGAGAGAGGGAGACACAGACTTAGAAGCAGGCTCCAGACTCTGAGCTGTCAGCACAGAGCCCGACCTGGGGCTCGAACCCACAAACCATGAGATCATGACCTGAGCCGAAGTCGGACGCTTAACCGACTAAGCCACCCAGGCGCCCCTAATTTTTGAAGTCACTTTAATAACACTCCCTCCTCTCTCATTTATTAATCCTTTAGATATTTGAAGACAGTTGTCATTGTTTCTAAAATACTATGAGAGAAAAGAAGCTACTGGAGCCTCTGATTCCCCAAATGTAAAACAATGGGGTCTGACTGTTCTTGATCACTAGGGTTTCTTTATGACCTCAAAGTCTATGAAGCCATGAAAACTTCATGGAACAATGCTCAAATAAAAGAGAAATCCACATAAATTAAAAGATGATGTGCTCTCTCTGAAACGTTTGCTGTACATTTCCTCTGGAGCACATTGGGAGTCAGGACTAGTGGGACCATCCGCCGAGCCATTGCTCATTTATGTTGAAATAAAACAGGCTCTGGCTAATTAGAAGCATGCTCCTCAAGATGAAACAATACAAGCTTTCCAACATTTCCCCACCGTTAGCAATCCCTGATGTTGACTGTACATGTTAATACAACCCCCGCTCTACATCAGGGGAAAAAAATAAAGCAGGCCATGATGATTCACAGCACAAGAAAGAATTCTTTTTACTTACACTCAGCCAGTTCACACTAATGCACGAGGCACTCACTATGCGCTGGTCTCTGCGATAAGTTTCTGTACATATATTACGTTATTTTATCCTCCCAAGAATATGATGAGGTGTATTTTATAAGTTCCACATTCCAAATGAAGAAATCTGAGCCTCAAGAGTAATCAAGTGACTTGTTCACTTGATTGCTGCTGGTAAGGGATGAAGTAGGACCGTCTGGCCTGAAGTCCAGTGCTCTGCCCACTCTACCAGCTGCAGGGAAACTTCTTGATAAAAGACCATGCCTATGTATGTAGAATATGCAGCTATTTTAATTTCCTTTGCCCCCAAGGCATACCCTGAAATTAGAGTGTAGGTGAAAGTGGTTTGTTATCAGAGGATAAGGAGCTACCAAAAGAGGATGGTAAAGTGAGTCAGAGAAGAAAAGGTCGCCAATAAATTGTGCATTATCGAACCAGCTACCAGTGTGGGCCAGTGAAATAAATTCTGCTTGGGAAATTCTGAGAATCATTGTAGGATACAGGGCACAGAGTTAACCCTCCCAAGGCAAAAGGGCCTGGAGTTTTTATAAGCCAGCTCTGTCAGTCATTGGTTGAGGTCTTTTTCTAGCAGATAGTAATTTCCTGGCACTAACTACCTACCAAACAGGTAGACAAAACATGCTTTAGAAGCCCGAGAAAGACCTCAAGCAGAGAAATTCAGGAGCTAGCAATGAGAGGTTGTGTTGGTGTACATTGAAGTAAAGGGCGAGAGGATATGGGCAGAGTCCAGACAGCACCTGGTGTTACAAATGAGTGCCCATACTTTGTAATCTGTCAGTAAACATATCTTGACCACCTACTGTGTGGAATAGCACACAGGTGAACCACAGATACAGACCTCCTTATGTGTGGCTTAGTATCCAGGGAGGAAGGCAGAAATAAATTATTCTAAGTAAAGACTTAGCTAAGTCTTACTACAAAAACAAAAAAAAAAAAAAAAAGAACTATAAAGAGCCCACCAAAAAACTCCTTCATTCATTGTTACTCTTTGTCTCTTTTTACCTCTGGCCTTATTTCTTTTCTCCTTATTGAAGCCAAATTCCCTAAAACAGTGTTTAGAGTCTGTCTTCTCCAGTGAACTATGAGATCCCCTGGGGATGGACCATTTTAAAAAAATTTTTTTAATTGTTTCATATAGTATTTGACATATGAAAAAGAATATATGAATTTGGGCACCAGCCAAGATGGAGTAAGCTCACTCTAGCCTATCTCTTTCACTGATTACAACTAAAAACTTGTGACAAAAGGAAAAAAAAAATAGGATTTAAAGACTTCTAACGTTAACAACAGCAGACAGATTGGGAAGGAAGTCCATTGTTGAATAATGATCTATAATTGGGATGAGGTTTAGGGTTTTTCCCTCTTATCTCTCCCAGCTTTGACCTAAGGGTAGGCAGAGTCCTATACTACAGAGTAGGGACTTAGAACAAAATTATGAAAAAATTCCCCTGCATTATAACCAAAGGACTGAGAATAGGGGGCTCATGTGAACTGGAGAGTATAGGAGAATATTCCTACTTTTTTTTTTTCCTCCTTGTTCTTCCCTGAGGCTGGCCCCATTTGGGCAGCTGCCTGATAGCAGTGGTGGTCATGGTGTGGACATCTGAATCCCCTAGGGACAACTTGTCTTTCTGGCCAAATAAACTAGAAAAAGGACCCCTCTGGCCCAGAGATCATAGAGGAAATCCCGGTTCTTTCCCTCCTCTTTTCTCAAAGCGCTTTGTCATAAGGGTAGGTACATGTCTATAGAAACTTCTCAATAGCACAAGGAGAACCCTGATCTTCTAGCCAGAAGACTCAGAAAGGGAGTCCTCTGGTTCCCATAGAAACCAAAGAATGGGTGGGAAATCATGGAGGGAAGAGTTCTGGAAAAGGAGATCCCTGAGTCCCTGAGTCTGTGTATAAACTGATACAAATCACTGCCACACTCCTGAAATGTATGGAACAGAGCTAATGAAACATAGCAAAGGCTTCGAAAGCAGAACTGATGTTGAAATCATCACCCACAGATGGTGAACTAGAACTTGGGGTCTCACCTAACTGATTCCCTGATAAAACAACAAAGTGACATTCATTAGAGGATTTTAGCAAGACCTAGAGCCTCACAAAAAATATTCAAAATATCTCAGATTTAATTAAAAAAAATTACTTTACATATAAAGGACCAAGAAACTCTGGCCCACTTTTAAGAGAAAAGACAATAGTTATCAATCTGCAGATAACCCTCATATTAGAATTATCAAACAGAATTTAAGGCGCCTGATTAGAGCTGTTCTTTATGAGGTAAAAATGAATACTTTGGAAATAAGTGGTAAGGTAGAAGCTTTTAACAGGCAAATAGAAATGGTAATCGAGAAGCAGATCAAACTGAAATGTTCAATAACTGAAATATATTATTGACTGTATAGTCTCAATATCAGAATGGAAGGAACAGAGGAAAGAGGGAAAAGGAAGAAAATAATTAAGATTCTCAGGAACCTGTTGGAGACAAAGAATATGTATAATATAGTTAGAAGGCAAAACAATAAAATGAATACTTAAATACCCATAACCAACTTTAAGAACTAGGACAATATCAATACACTAGCTACCCCCTCCCATGGTCATGTCTGATTCTCAGAGGTAACTTCTCTCCTCGTTTTTGTGTTTATCTGTCCTTTCTTTCCATTCTTCCATCACATGTGTATTTATTCTCTAAATAATTTATTTCAAAATTATTTATGTTGTAATACTGAGTTTAATGATTTGAAACTTGCCTTACAATGTAATGTTTAAGATTCCTCTATGTCATAATCTATAGCAATAGTTAATTTTCATTTTTCTATAATATGTAAGAGTGTATGCCATGATTTACATGCCATTTTCCTATAGATTCGTATTGTGTTATTCATTTACTCATTTACCTGTTTTGCCATTACAAGCAATGCTGTATGACCATTCTTTCGCCTGTCTTCCGGTGCCCATTTGCATGATCTCTCTAGGGAGAAATCTGTAGGAATGGAACTGCTTCTGGACCATAGGCTATGTGACTATTTGATTTTATAAAATAATGCCAACTACTTGTCATAACAATTTGCATTCTCTTTCATATCCTCACCAACAAATATCAAACTTAATGATTTTTTTTTTTGCTAGTGTGGTAAGTAAATATCATATCACAATTTGCATTTCCCAAACTTCTAAAAAGTTGAATATCTTTTCAAATATTTTTTGCCATTTAGGTGTGACTTTTTTTGTGTGTGTGAAATGCCAGTTCATAATTTTTGCCCACTTTTTCTCTTGGGTTATTTGATTTTTCTAATGAATTTATAGAGGTTATTTTTATATTCTATACACTAATATTTTGTCACTTAAAAGTGTTACAAATATGATCTCCCAGTTTGTGGCTGTTTTTTCACTTTCTTTATGGTATCTTGATAGAATGAACTCTCTGATTTCAATTTAGTTGGATATATCACTTTTTTGTTTCATATTAGCAGTTTTTGGAATCTTATTTAAGAAATACTTTTTAGTCCATTATTGTAAAGGTAGTCTCCTATACAATCCAGTACAAAGTTTTGCCTGTCTTATATATCTTCAATGCATTTGGGATTGATTTTTATGTATGGTATGTAGGAAGGATACTAATTTCATTTTCATCGATTTGGATATTGAATTGTCCTGGCCTGGTGCCATTTAATGAATAAATACTCTTTTCTCAAATAGGTTGTGATGCCCCTCTGTCCGATATCAATTTTCCATATATGTGGAGGTCTATTCTATGAATCTCTCTTCTAGTCCTATGACTGATTTGTCTGTATCTGCACCAATACCATACTGTGTTCATTAACTTTATAATAAGTCTTTATATCTGATAGAAGATATCTTCTCATTTTGGAAGTGTTTGGTTATTACTTGGCCTTTGCTTTTCATATATATTTTAGAATCAGGGAGTCAGTTTCCTCAGAACATCCTAATGGGATTTGAATTGCAAGTGTATTCAATCTATAGATCAATTTGGAGGTAATTAACATATTTAAAATAATCTCTTTTTAGGACTATATTTTCCATTAATTCAGATCTTCATTTAAGTTATATTTTCAAGAGCCTTAGCATTTTATTATTGTTACATATGAGTCCTTTGTATATTCTGGAGGTTTAAAGGGATGAAATGAAATTGTATATATTGATCTTATAAGCAGCCACATTTTAAAATTACCTTATTATTTCTAATAATTGGCCTATAGGTTCTTTTAAGCTTTCTAGAGATAGTTATATAATTTTCCAATATGACAGTCATTTTTCTTTTTATTCCCCTAAACCTAGTAATTTTTGTGTCTTACCCTTGTCTGCTGTCTAAGGAGCCAGGTCTTGCTCCATGGAAAACTGTGGGACTATTTAATGCCTCAGGCTAAGAGAAAGAACAAGAGAAAAATCGTAGGATCTGCATATGTCTTTTTCATCCAGGAGAATGATAAGATTACTTTTACTTAGAATATTTTGAAGGGATGATGGAAAACAGAGTTATGTTTTAATTATTTTCCAAATCATGCTCATTGAACATATTAATTATGCTCGTATTATGTCAAATCAAGGGTTATTAGTTACCATTATTTCCATTTTCCAGATGAAAACATTGAAACTAAAGACTGAAACATATGCTGGTCAAAGTCCCAGCACTCTGAAGTATTAGAGCTACAGCTTGAACCCAGTCTGTCTGGAGAGTTCCAGTGAGCCAGGCTCAGTCAAAACTTGAGGTGAGTGGAGGGAGACTCAACAAATGCCCCCGAGTTTCTAGTGAGAACCATAGAGCACACTGGGGCATTGTTAGTGGGGTTGAGAAGGTTGTGGAAAGTTTGTGGAGAGACTGGAGTAAATGAGCTTGATTCCCAAGTCGTTTTCCTTTCAAGTTGAGACCCATTTCTCCCTCATGGCCCAGTTCACAGGTGATTCAATTTTGTTGTTGTTGTTAATATATGGAGAAAAATCATTTTATTAGAAACGTGCTTAGCATTTTGAGAGAAGAGCACATGGTCCTCTTTATGCTACACTGTGGCTTGACCCTGTGGCTTGCTGCTCATCACTGCCCCTTTGAGCCAGCCAGCAACAGCCGCTGTGACTCCACGGTTACATGACAGCCATACTAGCCTAAGGTCCACAGCTATGGAATTCACTATCAGAGCAAATTGAAAAAAGGAATCCAAACCTCCATTTATGATGCCTTGACATATTTCTTGCTTTGGGGGGGAGGTGTGGAGGGAAGCCCTATTAACAGCTCTATCAAAAAAAAAAAAAAAAAAAAAAACCCAAACTTTTTTTTCTTAAGTCTCCCCTAAAGCTATTTCATCCAGAAATCTGGGACCTCCACAGGAGTATAAATCTGTAACAGCAGTCTTTTTAAGACTCCTATTTAATCAGAACCATCCTTCCACAATGCAAGGGGCACCAGATCTATCAGTCAACACCCCAGCTAGAAACAGATGACACTCTCTAACTGAATGACTTGAGGATAGTTTTCAAAAAGAACTATTCGAGATGGTATAGTCATGGATTAGGGAAACAAGGGATGCTGGAGTACCCTGGGGCTAGTAACAGGAACTGATTAGAGGCTTATGTGAGGAAGCTTAAGAAGAAGCTTAGTTGTCAGAACCCAGAGAGGAACATCTTAGTAAAGGATAGCTGACCAAACCTGTGGCTTTCAAGTCAGGGACACAGCCAACCTGAGGTGATCTGTCGTGAAAATAGCCTAAAGAATAAATACCTAATCTCACCTTCCCTCTGTCATCTGCTCTCCTTTCTCCCTTTGGCTGAACCCATGGAAGCCATTGATCATGGGAACTTGTTGATGGGTTTATCAAGCCCATTGTCCAGGAGCACGGTGCAGGTTGGAGAATGGTGGAAAGTAAATATAATGGTCCAGTTGAAAGAAATATGGCAACAGCCACCACCTTTGCCCTTCAACACCCCTTCTTTTCTTTGTCCAGGCGAAGGATTGATTCCCTCAACACAGATGGCACAAAAACCCCTTCAGGTACCATAATGTCACATGGGGGTTCAGTTTAATGCAATTCCCATCTGAAGCCTGAAAGAATTCTAGCCATCACCAGATTCTTAAGGAAAGATTGTGGGTAGAAATAAGGGGGGTGGGATAAGAAAAATATTAATTAAGGAAAACATGCAGATACAACCTCAGCTTTCATGTAACTCTCATGAGGCCTATGTCAATAGTTGTAGCTGCCTTCTTCTACTGCCATTTGCATTTCCATTATTCACTGTCAATCCCTCAGCTGGGTGACATTGTTTATCTATTGAAATAACCTGAATTTTTATTCTTATGAGGTATAAGTCCCAGAAAATCGTGTTTTGGGTTGCCCTCGTTTTCCATTGAACAGAACTGTTGGAGAATAAGAAGTGCCCCCATGAATTCCCTACAGACACAGTTCTGTTTACCACCAGTGTGTAATAGCATCTCCATTTCTCACTGGTAACTGGACTCAGATATCCTTGCTGGTACAGTGACACCCTCCTTTAACAATTGGTTCAGCAACATGAGTAGCCCAGAAAATACGAGGAAGTAGTAGTCTCAGTACTGGCTAATTCAGCATTAATAGAACTTTACTCTGATGAAAACATTTCTCCATTAGGACGGTAGTAACCCCAAACCTATTGAACCCAGGATAATGGTTTAGCAAGCAAAAATTTCTCCATGGAATGTCATCTCCTACCTTGTGTCAAAAGTGAGCCCTTATTAGGTCATTCCATCATTCTCTCAAGCCAATTATATATGAATAATGGGACACATGGTAAGACTGGTAAAGTCTGTGAATGGAAACCCACTGTCATATTTCCTTTGTTATCAAATATCTTCACTAACTGGAAGGAATGATATGTAGGACATTTTAGCAATGGATAAGGTATTCTGTAAGGCCACAAAAGGTAGAACTATCTTAAGGATGTAAGCAGGGAAGGAAAATCTTTATCTAGAAGTTTTATCTATTCTTGTTAGAATAAATACCGCTCCCTCCATGATGAAATAGTGGATTCAAGGTAATCAACCAGCTACTGGATAACTAACTGATCCCCCAGAAATAGTGCTGTATCAGGAGCTCAGAAATGGCTCTGCTTTTTCCAGGCTGGGTACTCACCAGTGACAGATTAGATTTAGTCAAAACAGTTTGTCTCCGGAGATAATACACATTCTAAAAATATTGTTCTCCATGTGAAAAATAAAAGTGCGTGCATACACACACACACACACACACACACACGCTATGGAACTAAAATAATAGCAAATTCAAACAAATCTAGACAAAACACAGGTTGGTTTGTAGGGTTTTTAATTTAATCACATATTTTCCTAGAGTCAACTATGTGTTGGCTGCTCTCTGTAAAGCAGGGCATACAGAAGTGAATTCTAGGACCTAAAATGTCACAACTGTTTCTAAAATATGATAGTTGCCATAAATGAAACACGTGCAAACACAAGGAAGAAACTGATTATTCCTGATGGTGTAAGAGAACACTTTAGCCAAGGATCCAAATGTTGAATAATGGCAAGATGTTCTAGAAGAAGATAAGGAAAAGTATGTATTTCCGGAAAAGGGAAGCACTTTTGCAGTGTCATTGAGACATAAGCATGAGACACCTCCCACTCTGATAATGCTAGAACTTTCAGTTTGGTTGTGCCATTGAGTCATATGAGCATACAGAAAGCAGTTGGGGAAGTATGGCTCAATTTAGGCAGATCTTGGTGATAGAAGTCTATTCTGTGGAAGACCTTGCAGAGTGGAAAGTAGCTCTGTCTTTCCCAGGAGCAGGAAAGCACCAAAGGGTTCAAAGCAAAGCACTACTATGATCAATGTTGTATGTTACAAAGCACACCTGTAGATGGATAATGATACAAGGCTAATAGCTTAATTTAAGAGAGGGAAGCAATGATGCTGACCTGATTAGAGCATTTACAAGGTTTATGTAAACGGGACATAGAGAAACAAGAGATACTTAGGAGATGATATCCTAATGACTTGGAAACAGATTGGATGAAAGGTAAGTGGAAAATGGCAGGTTGGTTGGTTATTTGTTTGTTTATTTATTTATTTATATTGAGGTGTACCTGACATACAATGTTACATTAGTTTCAGGTGTACAACATAGTGGTTCCACACCTTTATATGTTATGCTGTGCTTACCACAAGTATGGCTTCCATCGGTCACCCTTTAACACTATTATAATACCATTGACTGTATTCCCTTTGTTATACCTTTCATCCCTGTGACTTTTTCATCCCATAACTGGCAGCCTGTACCTTCTACTCTCCTTCACCCACTTTGCAAGAAGGTGTCTTTTAAGTGTCTCCTATGGTTAGGGCTTAAATGGCTGGTTTGGTGATAATGCCATTTGCATAAGACACAGGAAATAAAAGCTGGGGGAAATTAATTTAAATAAGCAGAATTCAATTCCTATATGAGGTGGAAATTATGTCTTGTATAGTTTGGTTAGTATTTTTAAATTTAATTTAACTTTTTAAAGTTTAGTTATTTATTTTGAGAGAGAAAGAGATAGAGAGAGCACAAGTGGGGCAGGGCAGAAAGAGAGAGAGAGAGAGAGAGAGAGAGAAACAATCCCAAGCAGTCTTCACACTGTAATGAAGAGCCCAATGCAGGGCTTGAACTCACAAACTGTGAGATCGTGACATGAGACAAAATCAAGAGTTGGATGCCCAACCAAGGTGCCCCTAAAGGAGTTTGAGGTAGAGGTATGTGTCTGGAATATAGAATCAAATTCAAATTAGAAACCATAGACTATAGGGACACCTGGGTGGCTTAGTTGGCTAAGCGTCCGACTTCGGCTCAGGTCATGATCTCAAGGTTCGTGGGTTAAAGCCCCATGTCGGGCTCTGTGCTGACAGCTCAGAGCCTGGAGCCTGCTTCAGATTCTGTGTCTTCCTCTTTCTCTGACCCTCCCCTGCTCACGCTGCCTCTCTCTCTCTCTCTCTCAGAAATAAATAAAACATTTAAAAACTTTTTAAAAAAAGAAACTATAGATTATAAAGTTAAGAGCATTTTGGTAGTAGTTGAAATGTTGAATGAGGATGAAATCTTCTGGTAACAGTGTGCAGAGTAGAAAATCCTGTCTCCCTCTCTAGGCTTTAAGCTCCACAGAACAGTGAAATTGTCTGCAAATTCCTGGTTACCTAGAACAATGCTTGATATAAAGAAAATACTCAAAAAGACTCTGTAAGTGAGGAATGAGAAAGAAATAAACTGAACAAACAATGAAGTGAACGAAATATCGGGAACACCAATATTTAAGAGAAGAGCAAGGAAGCAGTGAGAAGCTCTGAGAAAGAGTGGCCAAAGAGATAGAAAAACAAAACAAAAGCAAGAATATTGCTATAAAAGTTCAAGTCCAAGTAGGACAGTGAAAAGAAAGGAATGGCCAAGAGGGCCAAATGCTGCCAAGATGTCAAACAAGATAAAGGCAGGAATATGCACAGTGGAACTGGTGATCAGGAGAGAGGAAGAAGGGCCAGCTTGCAGTGGATTTAAGTGAATGGAAACACAAAAATAAATTCAAAATAGATGAAAGACCTAAATATGAGACAGGAAACCATCAAAATCCTAGAGGAAAAAAATAGGCAACAACCTCTTTGACCTTGGCTGCAGTAACTTCTTACATGACATGTCTCTGAAGGCAAGGGAAACAAAAGCAAAAAGTGACTATTAGGACCTGATCAAGATAAAAAGCTTCTGCACA